ACAAACAGCTTTATTGACAAAGGCTTCCAATAGGTCACAAAGATATAATTTTTCCTTGTTCATATATTTCTCATGTTAATAGTCCAGACATTTTGCAATTCTACTTTTTAACTGTAGTTATAACAAGTTTTCTGGATCATAGGAAAGGATGGCTGGAAGGGACCTCACAAGCTCATGTAGTCCAGCCTGCTGGTGAAGGTAGCATCATCCCTGACTAAACTATGCCAGCCAAGTGTCTGTCCAATCTGGTCTTGCAAATTTCCAGGGAGGGAGATTCCACAAATTCTCTAGGGAATCTGTTCCAATGCTTGACCATTCTCATAGTCAGAAAGTTCTTTCTAATAGCCAATTAACATTTCCTCTGCTGCAGCTTAAGGTCATTGCTTCTAGTCCTATCCCCTACAGCAACAAAAAGTCCATCTATATCCACTCTATAATTGCCTGACAGGTATTTGGAGACTTTTATCAAATCTGCTGCCTAAGTCTCCTCTTCTCCAGACTGTGCTTTTCAGGTCTCTAGTTATTTTTGTCACTCTGGACATCTATACACATGTTCCAGGGTTGGGGGGAGGGAGGAGGGTGTTGCTTTAATTAGAGCAGCTCCAGGAACCAGTCTAATTAAAGCACTCACAGCATCACATGTATTCAGTGTCCTGTGCTTCAAAGTGGCATTGGGGGTGCCTGAACTAAAGCTTCTTCGATGAGCGTCAGTTCAAGTGTTTCTGCCGCCGTTTTGAAGCATGGGGATGCTAAACAGACATGACACAAAGGCTACTGGAGTGCATTAATTAATATATTTCAGCAGACTTGATTAATTGAATCTGCTCCAACACATGCTAATTAGCATGCATTAGACCAAACACCCAGTAAGCGTATGGATGCCCTTTGTGCTGGATTTTTTCTAATCTGTCCACATTCTTCTTGAATTGTGGGGCCCAAAACTAGAACAGTCACTTTTTTTTTGATTTGCAAGTGATGCCAGTATTTGCACTTTTTGCAACAAGAGCACACTATTGGCTCATAATCATCCCATGGTCTACTGTAACCCCCAGGCCCTTCTCTGACGTACTGCAGCCTAGTCAAGCATAACTCGTGATTTTGATACAAGGCTTGTTAACTTGTAATTCTGAAGGTTATCCCTTCCCTTTTTCAAAATACTATATGTCCTCTCCTTGACACCTGTGATAGGATCTACTTTTAATGTTAAGTTACTTAAAAGGGAGATGATGTTCTCTTTCAAAATCTTCATGAAGAATAATAATCTTCTTGAAGATTCTATAACACATTTATTTTTCATTTTTCTTCCAAAATCTATTTTAATTAATTTATGCTATTTTTTCTGATTCACAGATAGGGCTAGAAATTGTCTAAAATGGATGGAACAACACAATTTTAGCAATCTGGAAATAATGAATGAAATTAATCATGCTCTTTGTTACCGCAAAAAGGATGTAAATATATTTTTTCAGTTCTCCCTCTAGGTGCAACTGCGTAAGTTGCCCTAAGACATTAGAGTTAAGAACTTTTTTATTGCCAGAATAGATTATTAGGTTTATGCAGTAGACACAGCTACACAAATATGTAAAACCAAGCTGCATAACAGGAAAAAAACCAACCCTGTAATTAGCAAAAATACTGACTTCTGATTTATGGCCTTACTTCAAGCAAGAATGTAAAATAAGGGACTTTAGAATATCTCAAAACATGGTATTTTGTCTTATTAATTGCTGTTTATTAGATTACACTGAAGTATGCCGGATGTGTTAGACAGGTGAGTAGCAAGGCCCCCATGTGACGCAGCTCACACTATGAACAGACAACGCTAAGTAAAGGATGGGTTACACCAAATGCTGATCATACAGCAGTGATATTATTCAGCACATATTCCCCTACTTCCACAAATCTTGTTTACAAATTATTATTTTTTTACTAGTGTTTATTGGACTGGATCTGTTTCTGACACGAAGCTAAGCTATCAAGCTGGATGATAATTACAATGATACAATCTGAGGAAGGTTTAGATATGAAGAGTACCTCTGCTCCATTTTGGGGGTGAATGTCCACACTAGAGCAGCTAACCTGGAGGCATTTGCTAGCAAAAGTGAAACTTGTCATGACCCAAAAGGCATGATTGTGTGTGTGTGCTTCGGCATCAGAATTATCCACGTTAAGTTGCAGAGCATTGCACGGGAGTTTCCTGTAGCAAGAGGAAACTCCGGTGCAGGGACCAGTTTCCCGCCTTTTCTGCAGCTTCTTTTGCAGAGTGCATTGCTCGAGTTGCAAGAGGAATGCACGGTGCAAAAGAGTTCCCACCACTGGTATGCAAATTCGTTCCCCGTGATTGGCTAGTGCTAAATTATTCACACGTGGCGGCTAGCGATTGGCCTGTTAGCCGTATAAGAGGCTTGAGCAGTTTCCGCCCAAGCCGAAGAGGACTCCACATCCATCTCGTGGGGACTCTGGGTACACGGCAGGGTAATAGAAACCCTGTGTGAGATCCAGAGGAGCGTGGCGGCCTGATCCACCGCCCACCTCTTCCCGTCTTCGAGCGCGACTAATATAAGACGTATTTACGATTTCTACATTGGTGGCCTGTTCACCCAGAGCATCCGGAGCTCTGCACTGTGGAGCCTAGCAACCTCCACGAGACCGTCTGTGTTGTGTCTGTCTGTAACTGCAACTTAATCAAGCTTTCCAGCCTACACCATTGCCATCTCGGTGTAAGTAAACAATCTTTTAAACTACCGATACGCGTCCGTGCCTAATTCCAGAGCGAAGGCCTTCCCTCTCCGCCCCCGCGTGCCCGGGCTGCTGGCCACAGCCCGTGTGCAGCGTGAAAAAGGGCTCGGGGCGCTCCCGGCCCGCACAAAACTAACATGTTTTTTGTAAACATTATCTGGTGTGAGGACCAGGGAGCCTAAGTCTACAGTAAAAATGTATTTTGAGGAAGGTGGTCAGTTACAATACTAGTTATAGGGAGACAGCAATATTTTATTACTCCTGCACTTTTCGTATGGTTAGCTTAATCCTTTGAAGTTCAAAATGAAGTCATTTCAAAACAAATACAAACTAGTACACGCAAAGCTATAATTGAAATCATTAATCATCATCATCATTATCAATCTTAATTTTTTTAAGAGAAACTTTTTTTTTAGCAATAAGAATGGCATGTGGTACTTAACTCAGCTGAAAAGAGGCTTAAAAGGACAATACAGGATCAGAGAAAACAGAGCATCTTCTTTGTACTTTTTAAACATGGCCTGTGATTTTACAATCCCTACATGGTATTGTCTCCAACTACCTGAGAAATTGCCTTTTTAAAGATGATGGCCCCAAATGACAGCTTTGCTCCACTGTAGAAATAATGTCAACAAACAAAATATTTTTTTTGTGCCACAGACGTATCTTTCCTAGCAGCCAGATAAGGACTATGGCTACATACTCAATAGACAGTTTAGTTAGTATTGGCTGCTGGTATTGTAATTTCCTTTAAGCACGTACACAGTTGACAGGCTTTACCAATGCAGCACCATCCTCACAACAAAAGTATTATCAAAAGCAATGCTGCACTGTGGGTAAGACATGCCCATGTCTTCCAGTCCACTTTTTTTAGCACTCTATAGGTTCTTTTGCAATGCATTGTCAGATACTAGCACTCTCGACACCCTCAAATTTGCTAATGATTTTGAAGAAAGATGATATAATTAAGCTAACCTTGCTGACGTAGCTGAAGTGCACATTAATCAGACTTTAAGCTTTTTCAACTGACATAGCTTTTAAAAAAAATTACCGAGAATAATTAACATTTAAGCATGCAATGCAGATTAATATATATCCTTTCTTATTATTAGAATAAAAAGCTAATAAAACTTAATAAACTGAAAATCAGTTGCACTGATATATACAAATTGCAGTCTCCTTAAAAAGTGACAACCAAGCTTTGTTCCCATTTCAGTTAAGAGCTCACATCTAAAAAGTTGTTTTGATACTTATTTCTAGAATGTATGCTATTATCCACCCACTCTTCTGTCATTTTGAAGCTTTTATACAAATGCAGCACTAGTGGTATTTTCATGTCCCAAAAGGTGGGGAAAAACTCCACCCATCAGAGGTAGTATATTCAGATTTGAAGTATTTGTGGATTTAGTTCATATGATATGTGAAGTTTCTTACAGAGTATTTTGACAGGGTGATTCATCCATTATAATGACTATAGGTAAAGCTCATCTGTAGAGTAGACAGAACTTTTCAGGGGGCTGGTATAAGGTTGAGCAACAGGAATTAATGACCATAGCAAACCTCATCAACTTCCACTTCAAGAGCTTTACCTTCCATGGAGCCAATAAAGAAAATAATTTAATGACGTGTCAGACATTAGGTCCAACTGGTGAACAAAATAATGAGAGCACAGACTATTCCCGACATCAACTCTTTTTAGACACCCCTAAAAAGACTTTAAAGGAGAATAAATGACTGAATATTCATGAAGAAGAAAGGTTAGCAATGATCTATTTCACTTTAGCAATGATGTCCTTTGCCTAACAACCACAAAATCACTATGTCATTTAACAGCTAAATTTCATTGCTCCTAATGGTATGCTGGAGCATCACTATACCAGAACAGACTCCAAAATGAATCGTATGAGACTCTGTTCCAAGTTCTTTCCCTTTTGTGTCCTTCCTCCCCTCCACCCCCCACAGTTTGTCTTCCTCCTAATTCCTGTCTCCCTCTTAGGTTTTCACAGATTCCTGAGACTATCTATAATATACGGGAATAACACTAGAAGATGAGAGCGCCATGCAGGTCTATACAACCTGAGAAAGACTGGCAAGATAAAAGGTGCTGACCAAACCAGCCAGGCAAAGTGAGCCAAGATCTACAGTAGCAGCAGTCATGGTAACCTACCAGCTCAAAACATTTGAGACAGACCACTCACCTTGTATCCTGAGAAAATCAACAGAAAATTCAAAAGTTAGAATTTAATATAATAAAAGATTACCTATATGGATAGCCATGGTATTTGGAGCGGAATATTGACAGCAGGAAGCTGAAGAAGAAAACCACCAGACCCAGTCCTACAAGGCATATTACTGGAAAAAAAAATTTACTTGTACAGAAAGACGCATAAAAAAGATTAACATCTAGAATCTCTCCTAAGAAAAATATTATTTATGTCAATCATTCACAAAGAAATTTGACACAGTTAAATACCTAAGTTTTGCTATCTGTATTGTCACCTGATGCTCTGTACCTTCAAACAGGATATCAAAAGCACACATGAGAATAATATTTATTTCCAGTTATTAAATAGCTTGTCAGTATGAACATATTATCAAAGGAAAAAGGAACAGTAATTTGCAACTTGTACAAAATGTTTGCAGATGCAAACACCTTTCTGGTGATAGTGGATTTAATAATCTTTGCAAATTATACATTTCAGCCAATGTAATTTCAGGTCTTGTTCACTCTCTCTGAAAAAGAAATTACACTTAGAATAATGTCCTTTGAATGGTCTCATGTTCTCACCATTCAACTACCTATAGTAAAATAGCAGTGAAGGCAATTTAATTGTTGCCTCCTTTGGTTCTTAACAGTAAAGAGAAGAATTTTATAGCAAAGACCATATTTGAATCAACCTCTAAACATCCCTTTAGACATTATATCACCTGAAATGTAAGTATTGCACCTTAGGCAGGCAACTCAAATTTGCAGGTTTAGATGCTTAGACTTTGTATCCAGCTTGCCTATTTGTTCAGTGGGGAGTTAAGCTTTCCTATTGGTCAGCTGTAGGTAAGTAAAAGGGTGTACTTGAACCCATCCTCCCTTTCAGAGGTTAGGGATATAGCTGTAAGGGAGGTGTTTCATTATATCAGGATCCAGATAATTCAGAAAAGAAGTGTCAATTTGAACTAAAATGTCTAACTGACACAGTACCACTGAAAGAAAATGAGGAGTGTGCAGCTATCTTTTGCTCAATACAGTAGTTTAGAGTATTTGCCGAAGAAACTGGTACCTGAATACTAGGCCACCTTCAGATTGAGAGGGCTTAAACCCACATCTCCCACTTCCTAGGAATTTGCCCTAATCACCAGGACATGTGCTAGGCAGCTCTGAGAGCATATTCTATCTTTCCTCTTGATGCTGGCCTATTGACTAGGCAGCTAGAAGTGCAAGACCTGTGGGGCCATTGGGAGAGCAAGTAAGGGGGAGCAGGGTGTGGGGGGGGGTAGAACCTGGTTCTGTAGGCCAATAAGAAGGGCTTTCCCCCAGAAAGGTGGGATTTTTGGCTTCTGGCTGCTACTTCTAGGATTATTTCTATTTTTTTTTAACATCAATTATCAAGATCAGATCCTAAACTGGAAACACACCAAAAGGTATGAGGATATTTAGGGTACCTATAGTGTTACACTTAGGTCACCTCAGGGAGCGAACCAATTTAGACTGAGAAAGGTTTAACCCATTCTTGTAAAGGCTTACATGTGTTCACAGCACAGCCTGGAGATTGGGAAAGCCTAGCTACTTACCCCAGCCCCAGGGCTTTCCTACCCCCGGACTCTGACTGAGCTATTTTTAGGTCATTAACCCTTCCCTCCTCTAACTGGGCATGCTAAAAGTTTTAAGAGCAGCAAATTATTTGGTAGTTCCTTTTTAAGAGATTTAAATGAAACATTCTTTGACAAAACAACTTATAATTTTGGTGGTCTGATTATGTTTTCTGATTAATTTGACTGTGGCATTAGCTGATTTCTTCCAGGCATAGCTCCTGGGGTCTGTTTGAATTAAAAGCAAATAAAGAAAATAGAGTTGCCTGCCTGCCTTCCTCCCTTCCATAAATCAAGTTACCTAAACTAAATTAACCAACATGATTTGAAATACCTTAGCATAACACAATGTAATCATGGCACATGGTTATGCTGTAACATAGCACTAGGCAACAAACATAAGGCAACTGTCAATGAAATTTAAACACCTGTTTTGGTTTAAAACAAGATAGGGAGGTGATAGAGACGGTCTCAATTCAGGTTTATAGTTCTAGTTATTAAAAACAATTTATGTTCAGCAGATGGCATTTATAAATTCTTGTAAAGTTATTAGAGTATTATATTATTTATGTAACAGCAGTTCTGCCATAGACTACCATCACCTCTACCAGAGTAAAGATTCTAATCCAATTCCAGTTGAAGTAAATATAATGATTCCTTTGGACTTAAACATCAAGCCTAAGGAGAGAAATAATTAACGGATAGGTCTAACCCAGGGGTCGGCAACCACTAGCATGTGAGCCATTTTGCTCAGCATGCCACAGCTGGCCCAGGCTCTGGATAGCTGCTGCCAGTCATAGACCCTGGTGGTGGGGAGGCTGCATGCAGCCCAGGCTCTGTGGCAGGCAGAAGATGGTCAGAGCCTGGGCTAGCTGCAGCAGGCAGCTGAGAGGCTGCAACCATTGCATCAGAGTCTAGAGCCTTGGCTCGACTCCATGGCTGGTAGCGGCAGTGCACACACCTCATGGCGGACAGCTGGGAAGGGGCCAGAGCAGTGCAATCCTGGTCCCTCTTCCGCCACCTGCCTTGAGTCTCACATTTCAACTGCTGCCAGCAATGAACCAGGCCAGACCTCAGTGCAGCTGTTTGCAGCCTCCTCACTGCCTGCTGTGAGCAGCCCAGGCTCTGTGGCAGGCAGCAGGGACCAAACCACAGGTCCAGCTGGCTATAGCAGGTGGCCAGGGGGCTGCAAGCCACTGCATCAAGATTTACAAAGCCCCCCCCAAACCCCCACAGCTTGCTGCTCATGGCAGGTGCACCCACACACTTCCAGGTGGATGGCGGGGAGGGGCCAGGGCTCCAGACCCTGGTACAGCTGTTTGCAGCCTGTATGCCACCTGCTGCAAGCGGCCCAGGCTCCATGTCTAGCAGTAGCTACACACGCACCTTGGGCTGCACGGCAGGGAAAGGGCTGGGCAATGCAACCCTGGCCCATCCCCTGCCATTGGCCTATAGGCACCTACCACCAGCAATGAGGATTGGGCCCCTTGCAGCTCGCCTGTCATCTGCTCCTGGCAAGCCAAGTCAAGGTATGGCTCAAGGTGGGGTGTTTTCAGCACTCCATCTGAAAATGTTGCTGACCCCTAGTTTAACCTTTTACCATTGAAGTCAAAGGGAGATGCTACAGAATACAGTGGGAGCAGAATCAAATTCTAAGGACTACCAGCTGCTAGTTGGACTCAGAAGCAGAAGTTTAGCAGTGATTTCAGGGTCAGGTTGGACTGCCACTAGATGTTGATCTTGGAGCTTTACAGTCTAGATCATTGTCAAATAGGGGCTTCAGGATGACTTATGTCAACAGCTTATCAGTTAAGACCTGCTGAAATTGAGGAGGCAGGTTTTATGGGTCTGTCATGGTGCCTGCTGCCACTTATCTGGTTTTTCATGGCAAGGGCCCCCACATCACTGATTAGCCGAGGGGCTCCGGCAGTGGCCCCACTCCTTGCCACAGATTGCCACAGAGGGCTGCTCTTCAGATGGCCCCACCCTTAACCACTAATTGGCCAAGAAGGCTGCTGGTCATGCAGTTCCACTAATTGGTGGCAAGGGCTGGGGCTGCATGATGGGCAGCCCTCTTGGCCAATCAGCAGCAGAGGGAGAAGGGGGCAGCTATTATCTTGTCTCCCTTTCTCTGTGCCAGTGACCATGATAATTAAAGTAATGCAAACCCATTACTGCTGATGGAGTCATGGAGGTATAGATAGTCCCAAATGGGAAATGGTATACTTATAAGACCTCTTTAGGATTTCACAAATGGGGATTGAACAGATAGAACTCTCTTGGTTAGAAAGAAAACAAAATAAAGTAAAATCAGAACGCAAAAACTGCAGACAGTTATACTAGCACAAAATCTGTAGCTACATGGGCTTTTCAAGATTTTTACTCTGAGTGTTAATTCTATTTGTATTTCTCAAAATACTTTTAATAAATGAAATGCAAAGATTCTGCTAGTTTATGAAATAACTTACTTCTCCTTTTTCCAACGTCTCCTTTGGAAGTAGCAGCTTCATTTAGGAGAACCATTCCCATAGTGATAGCAGCATCTATATAGCTGTTGTCAAGGAAACTGAAAAACGTGGATGCCTCAAAGTCATGAAACTGCATCTAGAAATGAATATTTTCACTTTATATAAAACAAAAATGTCAAAAATGCTCTATACTATAATTTATTGTCTGCCAATGTATTAAAAGCTGTGGAGAGATAAACTTTTAAATGTAGTGATAATTTTCCTTATGTAATCTTCCTTTAGGATTCTTTTGGGTGTTATTGAAGTAAGCAACATTCAGCATTAAATAACTCAAAACAGTTTTTATAAAGAAACACAAGTTCAAATGTGTTAAAAGTGGACCTCCATGATGTTTTGATGGTCGGTCATGAAAATATAGGGGGAAAATCCTTTGGGCAAAGCTATGTGAAATCATGAAAGCAAAATAATTGTGATAATGCTTAATGAACCCTTCCAAAAGACACATGAAGAATGCAAGCAGACAATTCTATTAATATACTGATTAACTGATGCAAACCAAAGCAGTTAGAACGCATCATTTACTTTTTAGTGCTTTCAGACAAACAGTAGCTTTTCCTGCTATGTTGAAACAGTGGTTAATATTTTATTTGGCTGAGAACAATTTTAGTGAAGGCAACATCTTCAGTCACTTCGAGTTTTTAGTGCCTAATTATGAGCTTTACAAATGCAAACAAGCACATAATGATAAAACAATTTAACTAATTTAGCATGATCCTAAACCATTCACTTAATTGTTTGAAACTATATCAGTGGAAAGGAACAGTTACTACTGTACTTAACATCTGTTCTGAACAGGAGGCATGCATGAATGCCATACTGAAAGATGGAGTGCATTGTGGGAGTTATATTGAATATATGTATTTGAAGAAATAAGAACTTCATTAGCAGGTTACATAGCCAGTGATATTTTTAATGATATGGCCTCTTCTGCAAAGATCTTACATTTATTTTAATTTTTAAGTTAAAAATGTTTAGCAAGCTTGCTGGTATAACAACTGTATATCATCATGCTACAATTTACTTTGTCTTTCATCTATTACACTCTCATTCCAAAATATAGGCAAGAGTATTTTAACATCTGTTCCCACATAACTGCATAACACTCTCCTAACCATCTCCAATTCCCCTCTCCCTGTGAGATCTTCCATGCCTTAGTGCTCTATAATTGTTTCTACAAGTACCATGTATTCAAGAGATCATTTCTGGAGAGGACATTACTACAGGGTCTGTGTTTTCTGATGCTTCCCTGTTTCTTGCCAAAATACCTTCTTGCATTGATGCTATGTTCCTGGAAATGGCTACTGGAACCATGTCATCAAAACAAATATTACAGTAGATTGATTGGGATTGCAAAATATGTGACCATATCTGGGGCTGTGGACACACAGTACTTTTGTAGTGCTATATATACCTTTATAGCATGGCAAAAGGCAAGCATCCATACATTAAAGCTGTTTGCAATGCTGCATAGGTGGTGGATCTATCACAGAATGGGTGATCTCTTACAAAAAAAGTTAATGTTTCAAACAGGAACTTCTCTAAAGCACAGGATTTTGTAGTGCTACTTGCAATGTACAGACAGTTACATGACTGGTACATGAGTTATATGTCTCTCAAACTGCCAGCATCCCAGAGTGCTTTACGCTCTCTCTCCACTACAAGGAGAGGGGAAGAGTGGCTGGCTCCCTGACAGCCAGTGGAGAGAAGCGCTGCAGCTTTGCTTTCTGTGGCAGTCGTTGCAGAGCTACCCTAGTGAACAGCTGCTGTTGCTGCGCTGTTGCTTCTGCTGTGGGAACAAGGGGAGTGAAAGAGAAGCTCCTATTAAGCCCAGCTGGAGAGTGTGCCTTTCAGCCGACTTGAGGAAGCGGACTATGAAGAAACGTGAATGCACAGACATGCATTTCACACTACATTTTTGTAGAAAAGAACCCGGGGGTCTACAGTGGCCCATAACCTGAATATAAGCCAACAGTGTGTTCTTGATGACAAAAAAGCCAATACCATACTGAGTTGTGTTAACAGGAGTGTCACTTGCAAATCAAGGGAAGTGATTCTTCTACTCTATTTGGTGCTGGGGAGGCCTCATCTGGAATATTGTCAGTTTGGGCCTACCTCTTCAAGAAAGAAGTGGACAAATTGGAGACAGACTAGCAGAGAGGAAAGGCTGAAAGAACAAGGGTTATATAAGTTTCGAAAAGAGAAGACTGAGGGGGGAATCTGACAACCTTCTTCAGAAACCTAAAGGGCGATTATAGAAAGGATGGAGATGGACTACTCTCTGTGGTCACAGGACACAGGACTAAGAACAAAGGCCTCAAGCTGCAGTAGAGGAAATTTTGGTGGACTATTAGGAAGAACTTTGTGACTAAGATCATTGGAAGCTGTCAAATCTCCATTCCTGGAAAATTTTCAAGACCAGGTTGGACAGACAATTGGCTAGGGCGGTTTAGTCAGGGATGATCCTGCCGTGAGCAGGAGTCTGATTGGATGACCTCATGAGGTCCCTGGTTAGGGTGACTGTATTTGGACCTTGGGGAGCACTGGATTTGTAGCTGAAACAATGATTTAATCTGTGGCCCTGCAAAAGTTGCTGACCACAAGGCAAAATGATATTTTAAAAGTAACATTGCGAGATGCTTAGGCAAGTAGTTTTCTAACCATATAGTAGTGTTGTAAAATCTTATGAATGCTTATGCTAACCCAGCCATTTGCTTATGCTAAGTAACCATCTTAATTGTGTTGACCATTTTCTGGAAAAAGCAGCAAGTAAGTCTGTGTGATATGAACCAGCTACAATAAGGAACAAGATAAGATATAGGGGTCTAAGGAATGTGGAGATAGTACAACTTCGGATAGAAAAACAGACTGGAATGTGAAAAACAACATGTAACTGGTAACAGAATCCAAAATAAACATATGAAAAGGTGAATGGTGATTGGTGAAGAAACCTCCAGAAGCTTCCAGGTTTCGGTCAAAGTTCGCCCATTGACCAAAGAAATTAAGTCAAGGTCTTAGACATGCGCTTATAGCAAAAAGTCATGTAAATGAATGAAATGCACAGGCAATTCCATATTAATGAAGTAAACAGTAAACAGAGGCGGAGCTTGAAACAGGAGGAAATATGGGTTGAACCAAAGGCGGGGCAAAGGTGTAGTAAATGTTAATGAGCATGAACCAAGGTGTATAAACGTGGAAAGAACTATTGTTCTTGGCAGGTCCCCTGGTTCACAGGGTGTGTGTCTGAGGGACCTTTGCCCGAAGCTGTCTCCATTCTGAATAAAGCTGTTGTGAGCAATGTGTGCTGGTGTTTGCTCCCTGCTTGCTCTGGCTAATGAGTAACAGGATCCATTAGCAATTGGATCATCATCTCCCTAGTCGTTGGGCACCGCATGGAGTGGGGGTCTAACAGTCCCTTCCAGCCCTACTTTCCTATAATCCTATGACTGTAGTCCTACAAATATAATGTGTGTCCAAGGCTTAGATATACCTGGAAGCCTAACCCAACGATGAGACATACTTACACCTCTAATGAGGGTGAAAAAGAATGTAAGATCATCATCATTCTTGTCTGGAAAAAAACACCAATCTTGTTAGTGGAAGAATTCCAGGGGTTGATCTGGAAGAAAAGAATCACAAAAATAAAGAAAGAAAAATTTTCTTCAGATCAAGAGTTGTAAATGAAGAATAGATATTTCAAACATGCCACTTCTATAAATGGTATCTGAATTCAGTATCACATTATAGAAGCTTGAAAAAGCTTTAAGGAATCTTTTAATGGCCAGACTCATCCTCATCAATTATCTACATTGGTATTCTTCATCTTGAACTAAGCTTTATATATCTATATATATATTTATATACATATTGTGACGTCGGTGGGCCTCACGTCCGGTACCACCCTTCGTCCGGTAGCCCCTCCCCCCTCATCCCGCCTGCCATGACTTGGATGGTATGAGTGATTCGAAGGAGGGGGGTTCAGTGGAGATCTTCTACCAGAGGGGCTTGCCCGACGGGGAGGGTACTCACGGTGGGGTCCTCAGATGTTCCACGGGGCTCCGCCACCCCTACACCCCGTCCACTCGCCAACTGGTCACCTGTCGATGATATGGTCGTCCGCAGCTACTTGCGGACCTTCTTACTAACAGGCCATCCCGAGACCAACGGCCATCTTCAGGCAGTCTGGCTTAGACTCCGCCTGACCCGGCCGCTAGCTCAGGTCACTTTTTGTCTTCTCTCCCCTATTCTCAGAAATAATACTCCTCGGGAATGGGGAGGTTTCCTGAGCCGCTGCTCTGGTCCCGGTAACCCCTGGGGATCACTCCTCCTGCCCCCACCAGGGTTTCCGGCTCTCTCCTCAGCTGCTGGGCTGATGCCCAGTTGCCTGCCTGAGGCTCTGGCTCTGGGGAAGCCGCAGCGGCAGGAACCCGCTGCCTGCCTCCTCTCTCCTCTCC